AGCTCTTTGAGGTATCTCCATATTGATTTCCATAGTGGTTGCACTAGTCTGCACTCCCACCAACAATGGAGGAGGGTTCCTTTCTCCCCACAACCCCGCCAACATTTGTTATTGTGTGATTTCTTGATAGCAGCCATTCTTTGTGGGGTGAGGTGGAATCTTAGTGTTGTTTTCATCTGCATCTCTCGAATGACCAGTGATGTGGAACATTTTTTCATATATTTTCTTGCTGCTTTCACTTCTTTGTATGAGAAATGTCTGTTCATTTCGGATGCCCATTTTTGGATCGAGTCTTTATATTTGGGGGGACTGATTGTTTTGAGTTCTTTATATATTCTTGATAATAGTCCTTTGTCTGAGGTACAGCTGGTAAAAATTTTTAACAGGCCTTTGGTTGCCATCTTAGTTAAGGGCTGAAAGCTTCAAACCTCTGGAGAACCTTTGACGACCATTTTAGTTAAGGGCAAGGAAGAATTTGTATGCTCAAATGCTTATAAATTGGCCATAGCAACTTCCTATTTTACCTTCTTAGTAAAAAGGTCTAACTTTTACTAAATTTTATTCACTGAAGTTTTTACAGAAAATAGTAACTAGCTAAGTGGACAGACCACTCAAAGAAGATTTTTATTGGCAGGCATCTTAGCTGTGGGCAACACAGTGACCCGTAGCCGTCCTAGCTATGAACAACCAAAATCCCCAAGTCTCAGGATCCTCAGATATGAATATAATCTTTCCCCGGCTAAACTCTTCCCTGTTTCCTGCGCACTCGTATCTTCTTTATTCCATTTCAAATGACTGTCTTTCTTCTCGCTGGACCTACTGTATTGTTCAGGACTCCTACCTCGATTCTGTCTCGAAGAGGTGAGACTTCAGAGTTTCAAATCCTGTGGTTTCCAGAGAAGGATGAATTCCAGTATGAAAAAAGTGGAGCATTTCCCCACTCGCTATCTTAAAGTAGATAAAGAGTCACTGGCCTAGAGAAGATAACACTTGGCAAAAGCAAAATGAAAACTACCAGATGAGAAGGAATCTTAATCATGTAGAATCACTGTTGTCATTTTTCAAACTCCTTTGACAACAGGATACATCACTGTGTAACCTTCGGCAATATCTAAACTTTTTCAAGCCCCTTTTTCTCTTCTATAATATGGACATAATAATTAAATCTCTTGCTCTACATACTTCAAAGTGTTAAATCATATTGCTCAATAAAGAGTGGTTATTCGTTTCCATATTTATTTTTATGATTTTAGCTCTGATTTGGGTTTTGTGCTGGGCCCTGGGGACACAGGTGAACAAAACCTCCACTCCTGCCATCTGAGAGTTTAGCACGTGGTGGGGGGTGCTGAACACAGATAATTTCACTTCGATGTAATCCGGGCCAGAGAGGCAATCATTGAGTGCTAAAGGGATCTGGATGCCTTCTTGGAGAATTAAAGGAATTAATGTAGGAAGGTAGGAGAACCATATTAAATATGGTATTTACTGGTTGGTTTCCAGGAAGAGGGAAAGCAAGAAAAGAAATGGGGCTGGCACAGTGGCTAAGTAAATATTTGATCCATGGAATGAAAATTACATACTGTTACTCATTAGAGGATAAAGTAGGAGTGACACAAAGTGAGTCTGGAGAGAATAAACATTATATTATAAAGACCTTACATACTTTTCTGGTAAATGGTGCCTGGGATCAAACTCAGGGCCTTGCACTGGCTAGGTAGATGTTCTACATCTGATCTACAACCCCATCCCTAATACCTTACATACACCTTTAAGCCTGTTCAATTCAACAAATATGTATTGAGTTATTACTGTATTCTAGAGGATAATAGCAACATATTGGGATGTTTTGTTGTAAAAAGATTAAGGACCAGGCATGTGGATTAGCTGCACAGCGCCTGCCTGACAACTGTGAGACCCTGAGTTTGATTCTCAGAACATAAAAAAAAAAAAAAAAAAACGATGAAGCCAGACCTGGTGACACATGCCTGTAATCCTAGTACTCTGGGAGGCTGAGGCAGGAGATCTCAAGTTCAAGCCTATCCCTGGCAATTTAGGGACTTAGTAAGATTCTGTCTCAAAATAAAAAAGAACTGGGAATGTAGGTCAGTGGGAAGGGCCTGAGTTCAATCCTCAGTGCCAGGAAAAGAAATAAAGAAGGAAGGAGGGGAGGAACGAGGAGGGAATTTTTCACTTCTGGTAAATTTTAGGCTTATATGAAACAAAAAAAGCCCACAAATCTCTGAGTTTTATATGTGAATTTATAAGTCATGTAAGCATTCTTTAATTCATTCTATAATAATTTGTTTGAATACCTACTGGAAAACAGATACTTTGAAGGCCCTGAAAATAAAACAAAGAAGGAGATGAAGAGGAAGAAGAGAGGAGGAGGAGGAATAAGGGAAGGAGGAAGGGGAGGAAGAGAGGGGGGAAGAGGAAGAGGTAAAGGAGATGGAGGGGGAGGAGGAGGAAGAAGAAAACAAAAGACTCCCTCAAATTGCTCACTGCTTAGATCATGACCTAGAAAGGTCCTTCCTTAATGTAATGGAGTAAAGAAAGAGTAAATGGAAGGCTAGGTGTGGTGGCACACACCGGAAATCCTAGTTACTTGGGACAGTTGAGCCAGAAGGATTTCAAGTTTGAGGCCAGCCTGGAGAATTTAAAGAGCCCCAGTCCCAAAACTGAAAAACTTTGAAAAGTGACTTGAGAGAACAGAACTGTAAGGAACCACAGAAGTCTGAATTAATGGAGCATAAGGGGTAAAGGAAGGTGTAGGAGGGGTCAGGAATGTGGTCAGTTGCTAAAGAACTTGTAGGCACTGCAACAAACTTCAGAAATTTTACAAAGTAGATAATATCTCACAGAGTCTTGTCATGATTAAACAAGATAAGGCAAAACAAAATGACAGCCATGATTCATGGATAACAGTAGTTACTCTGAGAATATTAATTTTTATTACTATTGATTATAGTAAGAATTCTCCCAGCTCTCCAAATATAGTTAGGAGCAAGTTATTTTCTGTATATGGAGACAATAGTTTATAAATACAAAAACAAAAGATGTCTTTATGTTCAGTTCTACTGTAATATCGCTTAAATTGTCAAACAAAATGGGCTTTTCTGTACAAGAAAAACTGGGACTGCTATAACCTGGTAGGGAAAAGAATCCTACCAAACTACATGGGGCAACTGGAAATGCCAAAATGGCATCGAAGGAATTCTTCACCCACTGTTATTTGGCAGAGACACACACACACACACACACACACCCAGCGAATACACACACACACACACACACACACACACACACACACAAAAGGCTTAAATTAAGAAATCTCATACATAAGATATTTTGAATTCTAAACCGTGTGGGTGTTGCTCTCTGATTCTGAATCCATACACAATTTTAACTAAATTAAAAGAAAAAAAGTCATGTTTTGAGAAATGAGAATGGCAATATTTCCTGATGTTGTTGCTCTCTTTCCCTTTTAAAATTTTTGCCTTCTTAAAGACTAATAGATATTACCACTGCTATCGATCCAGGCTACTCTTTAGTCTCAGAAAAGCAAGGAGAAAATTGGAAAATGATTATCCTACTACCATCAAAGATGAAGAATTATTAGCACTTCAGCAGTATATACAACTCTGTAAACTCAGTTAATATGCAAGCCTCCCTTACTGATATTGGCCTAATCGGACTTTAATTACTCACTTTGATATAATAAATTGTGGATCACTTATGTAACTTCCTAAGCAGATATCTGAATTGCAAATACTATATGGGTTAGCAAACTAATTAAAAAGGAAAGCAGGGGTACTCATAGATCAAAGTCGTGGGTATATATATATTTTTAATGGTACATACTGACTTATTAAAACTGAAGTTGATCCTCTTCCTCCTAAGGAAGGCTTTCCCCCTCAAGGAGATCCTAATGAGTGGAAATACCCTGTCATTTCCCAGGTGCCCAGGGTGGAGTTGCCCAGACATTCCACAAGTACTGCTCATCTGTTTTTGGCTTACCGAACCTTAAGGAAATAAAAAAGAAAAATAATTACCTGAAGACAAGTGAAGACATTTGTTTTTCATTTAACAATCTTCTTTGTGAATATAAAAAGAGGGAATCAGAATATTAACTCTAGAAAGAATCACAGACAACTAATCTGTCTTCTTCATTTTATGGGCAAGAAAACTGAGGCCCAGAGAAAGAATTTTTACTGAATTTGTATTTGCTATATGGTCAGCATTTTCTCATAACTTTGTGTGTGCGCGCGCGCGCGCGCGTGTGTGTGTGTGTGTGTGTGTGTGTTTGAGACAGGGTCTTGCTTTGTACTTTAGTCTAGCCTTAAGCTCACTTTGTAGCCAGGCTGGCCTCACATTTGTGGCAATCCTCCTGCCTCAGCCTATGAGTGCTGGGATTGCAGGCAAGCACCATCACTCCCATCTTCTCATAACACTGTTCTGTGGCATTACTCCTCTTTTATAAGTAGAGAAATTGAAGTTAAGGCTCAAATATTAAAGTTTTTTTATCCTACATTGCTGGGGATCAAACCCAGAACCTTGTACATACGAGATAAGTGCTCTACAACTAAGCTACACCCCCAGCCCAAAGATTTAAGATTTTCATTGTGACTGATTGTGAATCACCAGGCTAGATACAAAATATATGTGAGAGAATATTTTTCCTAATAATTATTTTTATTTATTTTTGATTGAGAGAAATGCATGCTCCTTATATAACGCATATATTTAAATAACCAAAAGGAAATAAAAGTAAAAGTCCTTGCTAGCCTACTCAGAAATACTCAGTCTAGTGTTGTTAATAGTGTGTCGGCTGTATTCTTCCAGATGTTTTTTCTAAGCCACATAAAGCATGTACTTTTTTTTAATGACAGAAAAACGAGACTTTATTTTTGAAGCATGTACTTTTAAAAATACCACATCATTTAAGAGAAATGGGAATGTCAACACTAAAAGCCTTGTTGTTGAAAATGATCAATAATTTATATCTATAGCAAAAAGCCAGTATTGGAAGAAGGGAACCAGGAAGGGAATAAGTTACGTTTATTTTTATCACTCTTATATAAGTCCCCTTTTAATTACTGAAAGTGTCCTCTTGCTTTTAATGACTAATTTAAGAAAATTATTTGGAATGTAGCAAATGCTCAAGAATAAAAGGACTGGGTCAGAAAGCCACATGAGGCATTTTCTTTCTGAATTTTTATTAGTGTATCAGAGGCCTTTTTTTTTTGGTACCTAGGGTCGAACTCAGGACCTTGTGCTTGCGAAGCAGGTGGCGGCACCACGGAGCTAAAGCCCGGGCCCAAGGCTCTGTTTATATGCAGTGGTTTTGTTCAGCTAGGGTGTTTTTTAGCAAGGTTTTTTTTTTCTTTCTTTCTTTTCTTTTTTTTTGGAGACAGAGTGTTGTTATGTAATTCAGGCTGCCCTCAAATTCACTCCCTTATTTCCCTGAAAATAAGACTGACTCTTATATTCAGTTTTGCTCCAATAGGGCTTATTAGGGAATGTCTTCTTTTTTTCATGCACAACAATTGACATTTATTCATTTATTCATATATAAAAATCTATATGTATTCAAGTACAGTCATGTCACCTTCTACTGGAACATGATCATAACTCTCCAAACCCCAAATTCTTGCCTGAATTTCTTGGGACTCCATTCCCTGCAGAACCATTGGCCCCAATCTCTCACATCCAGCAATAAGACTATATTTCTTGTCTGTGTAGCCTGCTTAAAGTGTGTTGGCAACAGAGCTGTGGGTGATTTTTCACTCAAATCACGACCTCTTGCAGGTGAGGCTTCACAAAGTCTTATCAAATCAAGTGTCAGTTGAAGACTTACAAGACAAGAGTGGCCACAAAAATGAGGACAGCTAAGAATGATGGTCCACCCCAAGGGTCCCACCCATCCTCACTCGCTCTGCACATGTTAGAAATTCCTTATTGTGGGTATTAAATAACAGTTACACTGTAAGCATATTTATATGCTCTTTTTTCTGGTTTATTTTCTTCTCATGTATAATTTGAATCCAGCATTAGTTTCTCTCATCTTCAAGTGTCTTCAACAGAATTTTTGTTTGTTTTTTGAGACAGGGTCTCACTATGTAGTTGAGACTGACCTGGAACTCACTATGTAGCCCAAGCTGATCTCGAACTCACAGCTATCCTCCTGTCTCAGCCTCCCGAGTGCTGGGATTACAGGTGTGCACCACCACGCCTGGCCTCCAACAGAATTTTTATGTCCTGGTTTGCATTAAACAAAAGTAAAATATTAAGGAAAATAGATTTAAGGGAAACTTGTGAAACTTTAAATCATTCTTCCTAACCACTTAATTTATTGAAAGGAGATGCTGCTATGATTCTTGATTTAGCAGCAACCATTCTTTTGTTTATATACAATTCTGGCTTTACTTGTTGGTTTGCTCTGTACTGGGAACATAAAGTTTTCTATATTATTTTTTAAAAAGTGACCAAAAATTGCAAGCACTACGATTCAGAAAATGTTTCTTTTCACATGCGTGTATTAAGTACATCCATCACAGTACACAATGTATTGAATTATGAAGATTCATAGTAGACACGATCACATCCGCTCACTATCCAGTTTTCATGTTATCTGTGCGTTGTGCCTGTATCCCATTGGTCATTCAGCAGTAAGTCCCAAGTTCATATGTTCACAGAGGCAATCACCTCTTGTCCAAAGGTGCCTGCTTGGGTGTTTACAAATACTTAATTATAATTTATATAATCATTTATTTAAAGTATCAATGGCAATAATAGTATTTATTTATATTTAATCATATTTTAATATTATTAATTTATAATTTTTGGGTTTTTTTTTTTTTTTTTTTGTACCGGGGATTGAACTCGGGTCCTTGTGCTTGTGAGGCAGGCACCGAACCACTGAGCTAAATCCCCAGCCCTTGGTGCTCATTTTTAGAGCAGGGCTTGTATTCTGAGCCTCCCGGAAAATCATGTTAGGGCTTATTTTCCAGTTAGGTCTTATTTTCAGGGAAATATAGTATATACCCCAGACTCATGGCAGTCCTGCCTCAGCCTGTCTGGAGTCCTGGGATTGTGAGCATGTACCAACTCACCCAGCTAGAAGAATTTTTTTAACTTTATTTTTTTATTAGTAGATATTTGTCACACATAATGGTCACATTCGTCATAGGGAATTTGTGCCAGTACATAATATAATCTTAATTCTTTTTTATTCCTATTCACCTCCCCTCCCGTTTGCAAAAGCTTTGTTTCCATTTTTTCGCTTCCATTCTTTCATTTTCTCTCTTCCTCCCTTCTCCCTCCCTGCTCCCTCGTTCCCCTTCCCACTTGAACTTGCTCTTCCTACTTCCCAGTAGTTACCCTCTGTTTTGCTCCTTATTTACCCTTTGGATTTCTCACACAAGAGAAACAATGTGATATTTAAACTAAGGGAAAAATGGAAACAAAGCTTTTTGTAAATAAGGAAGAGAAGAGGGGTTGAAGGGAGGGGAGAAGAATGGGAAAAAAAAAAGAAACAAGATATATCATGTACAGGTACGAATTCCCTATGATGAATGTTATTGTTATGTATATCTAAAATGTATGAATAAAAATATAAATATCCAGTTTCATGTTTAAAAAAAACTTCTATGTCTGATTTTTTTCACTTAAGATTATGGTCTCATTTTCCTACAAATGACTCAAGTTTATCCTTCTTTATGGCAGAGTGAAAGAGCATTCTTTATTTAGGAAAACTGAAGGTTTGAGAGTGGGTTGTTTGTTTTTCGGTAGTGGGAATTGAATGCAGGGCCTTCGCACTGAACGGTATCCTCAGATCTTCTTTATTTTTTATTTTGAGGCAGGTTCTCACTAAGTTGCCTGTGCTAGGTCAAACTTGCCACCATACCTACCTTGGAAAACCATGACATTTTGAATAATTATTTTAAGTATAATTATTTGTGTTTTCATTTAATAAGCTCTATTAGTTTTTGCTGTATATAAATGCATTGTTGCTACTGTATAGCACCGGTGTAGATAATGGTTTCCGCCAGCATCTCACTGAATGGCTGTGTTTCAGAGAACTGATGGATTCCTCAGTGGTGTTTGGTCTTACAGGGATCCCCAAGAAGACAGTGAAATGAAGAAAAGAGACCTATACAGCGAAATGAGTCTAGAGAGCCTGCTTCTTCTGGTTTCCCAGTCCCCAGGCATGCCCGCCATTCAGGGCCTATGGGAGATCATCTGTGGACTCTGCTGACTTTGCACGGAGCTGGTTTCCTGGCTGTGTGACCTGTAGACAGGACCAGCTCTTAGAAGGAGCATTCTTGGGGCGAAGGGTTTAGCTCAGTGGTTCTGCCACCTGCCTCGCAAATACAAGCATCTGAGTTTGATCCCCAGTACCAAGAAAAAAAGAAAAAAAAAAAGAGTAGCCTTGGAAAGACTCTGCTACCTTAAAATTCTCAACAGTTTTTTAACAACAGCTTCATTTTCATTTACACTGGACCCCACAGAGGCGATAGCTGGTCCTGCCTAGGACATACTGCTGTGAGACTTCAATACCCTTCTCTGTGCAAATCTACCATTTTGTCAAGCATGATGGAAATGCCGTAGGAGAAACCAGTGGGCTGTTGACAGTGAGGAAGCATCCCTAGGGTCGCTGAGTAAGGTTGGTCTCCCTGTTTCCCAGTAGGTAATTATATGTAACTCAGGACCAGTAGCAGAGGTGATAGACAACATGCCTTGAGGCCTGTGACTTCTCACTCTAGAATGGGCTCCAAAGTTATTCTTCAAAATGATAATAATGTTATAGACACAATATAGAATGTCTGGCCACTGAGATTTTGCATTTTAAGCATTTTCCCAAACTTTTTATTATACAAATTTCAAATATATGGAAATATTAAAGTAAAATTACAGTGAATAAACACATATAGAACTCCTTGACTCAAGTTGCTACCAGTTTGTCATATTTGTCTGAGTTATCTGTGTGTGTTCTAATTCTTTGACAGCAAGTTGCAGACATCATGACACCTTACTTAGAAACAGATCAGCATGCACGTGATGTACAGAACCATGCTGTACAACTTCTTTTTTTTGAGACAGGATCTCACTATGTAGCCCAGGCTGGCCTCACCTTGCTGCAGTCCTCCTGCCTCAGCTTCCTGAGTGCTTAGGGGTACAGGCATGTACCACCACACCCAGCTTATGATGTACAACTTTTACAAGTATTTTATTAGCCAGGCATGGTGGCACATGCCCGTACTCCCAGCACTGTAGAAGGCTGAGACAGAAGGATCACAAGTTCAAACAAGTTTGAACTAGCCTGAGCAACTCTGCAATTTAGCAAGATCCTGTCACAAAATAAAGAATAAAAAAGGTCTAGGGGAAATGTAACTCAGTGAGAAAAACTTTGATTCAATACTGGAAAAGGGGGAGGAGAAAGAGAAGAAGGAAGAGGGGAATGAGGGAAATTTTTAAAAAGTGTCATTTTTAATGTAGAAGCCTTGTAAAATAGAAATGTCTTAAAAAGGAAAAACTATACATAATTCCACTGTAATTTGTTTGGAATTTTGCAATCTTTTTTTTTTTTTCTTCTTGGTACCGGAGATCAAACTCGGGACCTTGCACTTGCAAGGCAGGCAGTGGTACCACTGAGCTAAATTTCTGGCCCAGAACCTAGTTCTTTTTAGGAAAATAGTTTACCCTTCTTCACCTTCATAGATTTTTGTATTTGTCTTTCACAGCACTAGTAACAATCTGTAGCAGGTTGCTAGTATAATGTCTTGATGAACATCTGTCTCCCCTCTGGATTATAAGCATTATGAGAGTAAGGACCCTATTTCTGCTTTCTGTCCTTTCTCCAGGAGCTAGTACAGTTTGTGGCACATAGCAGACACATAAATATTGTGTGTTTGTCTTACCCACGCTAAGCAAATACTCTACCACTGATTTACACCCCCCAACCCCCAGTATTTATTAAGTGATTTAATTTTTTGGCTATGCAAAGATAAAGCCAAGGTCTGGTTCCTGAGTGACTGAAAAGTACAGCCACTCTGCACAGGGCTGGGGATTTAGCTCAGTGGTTCTGCCACCTGCCTTGTAAACACAAGGTCCCGAGTTTGATCCCGGGTACTAAAAAGCAAAACAGGTCAGGGGATTTAGCTCAGTGGTTCTACTGCCTGCCTTGCAAGCACAAGGACCCGAGTTTGATCTCTAGTACCAAAAAACAAAACAAAACAAAACAAAGCAAAACAAACACTCAGAGCAGTTTTTTATTTTTTAATGAAAGAAAGAAAAGAAAGCTGTTTTGTTTTCGGTACCGGGGATTAAACTCAGGACCTGCACTTACGAGGGAGGTGTCGGCACCACTGAGCTAAATCCCCAGCCCTAAGAAAAGCTGTTTTAAACATGAGCTTGAGGACCTTTTTGCAGATGATTATGCTTTCATGGACATTTTTTTCCAGGATGTGGATTCAGATTCCACTTTCGGAATGTCATTCTAGAATTGTCAGTATGTTCTTGGATTTGTGAATTCCTGCTACAAGTTGTCTCAAGAGATCAGGAATAGATCGTCAAGACAACTGGGTGTGGTGGCGCATGCCTGTAATCTCAGCACTCAGGAGGCTGAGACAGGAGGTCTGCTTTGAGTTCAAGGCCAGCCTGTCTCAAAAGCCACACACACACACACACACACACACACACACACACACACACACACAAAAAAGAAGAACATTATAATGAAGGTCAAGCCACACACACACACACACACACACACACACACACACACACACACACACACAAATGCAATGGGCGGAACAGTATCTTCACTTCCTGGTGAAGGCAAGCCCCAGAATCAGTCAAGCAGGGAGTCCCCCCCGGGGCTATTTTGTTCAAGTCAGATTGTATTTCAACACTCCAGCATCCAGATGAAGCAATCTGGGGGCAATGGAATTAGAATAACAAAGACAGTGCCCCTTGGCTAGAGACATTTCAAAGGGCTGCAACTAACAGAAGAGCTGCTCTGCTTTTCCAGGAATTGTCACTTCTGGGAGTATGAAAATAGGGTGTCATTAGACAGAATAGCAGGACCGCAAGCTTACCATGACAATGCTATAAGAGGCCTATGAAAGGGTGTACTCAGGGCTAGCTTTTTTTCTGTTCTATCTAAGTCATAGTTCCATTTTTGGAGAGAGTTTCTAAAAGGAAAAGAAAATTAAGAGCACTGTTACCGCTTAGGGTCCCATGTTTGCAAGCAACAAAATGGACTCTGGCGAACCTTAACTTTTGGAAATTATCAGAGTAATGTGGAGTAGCTTGAGTGTGGAAAGAAATCCTGAAGAAACAAGTTTCAGGAAGGATGGGAAGCAGAGCTCATGAATGCTAAAAGCATTGTGCAACCTCTTTAGGGCACTGCCTTTAGAAGGAGTCGGCTCATTCTTTTTTGTTTATTTATTTATTTATTGTACTGGGGATGGAACTTAGGATCTTGAACTTGCCAAGCAGGCATGGCATCACTGAGCTACATCTCGGCCCTCTTTTTAAATTTTTGAGTCCTTTCTTCAGGATTCAAATGGCCCGGAAAAGCTGATAGACGAAGGTTGAGTTACATGCCCATTTCATGATTGGGGGAAAAGGAATTTTGCTTCAGACACACTTGTTTTCCCCCAGTACTGAGGATCAAACTCAGGACTTTGTGCTTGTAAGGCAGGCGTAGTGCCACTGAGCTAAATCCCCAGTGGGAAAAGCTGTTTTGAAGGGCAATCCTCTTATTGTGTATCTGATAGAAAAATGATGGTTTCCTAAAGGTATTGAAGGAGGTAAAGGGTAGCTGAGCAGGCAGAAAACATTAGCTGTCCACTCATCAGCTTACTTGCTGAGTATGTACACTCGAGAAGATTAGTCTTCCTGACTAATTGCTCTAGAGTTCAATGAGCTTGAGTTCAATGACCTTCCAAAGAGTTGGAGTTGCCTATGGAATCTACTTTATGATTCTAAAAAAAGAGTAGGTGGACATGGCGAACTCAGTTTCTCCCTCCAAAATCAATGGGATAGCTTGGTTTTTAGGAAATATACACTGAAGTATTAAAGGGTAAAGGGTCACGATATATACAACCTACTCTCAAAATTTTCAGGAGAGCCAGGTATGCATGATGGTACATGCCTGTAATGGCAACATTTGGAAGGCTGAGTCAGTAGGATTGTAAATTTGATCTCAGCCTGGCAACCTAGACCCTGTCTCACAAAAAAGGGCGGGGTGGGGTGGGGATGTAGTGCAAGGCAAAGCTAGATTCAATCACTAATATTAAAAAAAAGAAAAACCAAACCAGAAGACATATGTATTTAGAGATATAGAGGGGGAATATAGCAAATGTTTTTAAATAGTGAATTTGGATAAAGGATTTGTGGGAGTTCTTTGTGCTGTCCTTCAAAATTTTTTCTAAGTTTGTAATTATTTCAAAATGAAGTTGGAAAAATAGTCAATGGGCAGGGCAAAAGGAAGTATGCCTTTCCGTTTGCACATCCAAAGATCTTTTGATGAATTATTATGCAACAAATGAACATTTGTGTGTCCATATTGCTAGATTCAAACTCTAGAGGAAGTTCTGAGTGCCAAGACATGTACTCTTTAATGAATTATTGCTATTTATGTGACAAAGCTCCACTGTGAGCCTATAAAACACTGGATAAGGCCTATCTATTTACTCCTCTTTGAGGAGTCTAAGTAGGTGGAGATTTCTTTTGGCTTTTTAACTTTTGTTTTAACTTTTGTTAGGGAATGCACTTCAGACACAGTGTGTAAAGTTCATGCTTTGTGCTTCTAATGGTCTTTATAACCCAACAATTGTCTCTACCAAGTACTTACTAACTTGATGTGCAGCCAAAATTACTAATGTCCTAGTCATTTCTTGTTACAAAAAGATTTCAGTCTGTAGAAGGATAATCATTGCAGCATTGGTAGTAGCAATTTTTGGGACGAGTCAATCACCCATAGAGTACCGATAAAATACATTTGTGCAATTGAATATTGATGTAGATGATAAGAATGAAGCAGATCTACAAGAGTGGATATGGAATAATCTCCAAGTGAAAAAATAAATGAAGCCAGATGCTGTGGCAAGCATCTGTGGACCCAGACAATGGAGAGACTGAAGCAGGGTTGCTTGAGCCTAGGAGTTCAAAACTAACCTGGGCAACATAGCAAGACCCCATATCAAAAAA